CTCAGCCGGACCCGGCACCGTGGCAGCTGAGAAGGGGCCCCCAGAAGGCGGCCCCGCCGCCCCGCGCAGGGCTGGGGCGGGCGCTGGGCGGAGCCTGTGGAGCATCTTCTGAGCAGCCGCCTCTGAGCACCCTGGGAAAATCCTTCCTCCCTCGGACATGGCGCCCACCTGCCCGGCGGCTGCAGCCGGCTCCGGCGCCGCGGTTCGCGCGTCGGGGCACAAGATCAGCGCGAGCTTCAGGCGTGGGGCGGAAGGAGGTGGAGGGGGCGGCGGCAGCGGCGGCGGTGGCGGCGCCGCCCGCGAGCTCGGGCATTAAAGCTGAGCGCGCGTGGGCGCCGGGGCGCCGCCGGCATGGTGTCCCAGGTGCTGCAGCTGCTCCGGCAGGGCGTGTGGGCCGCGCTCACTGGCGGCTGGTACCACGACCCGGAGCAGAGCAGGTTCACCAACAGCTGCCACCTCTACCTGTGGCTGTTCCTGCTGCTGCTGCCCCTGGCCCTGCACCTGGTGAGTGGGGAGGAGCAAGCCCCGGGGAGACGTGAGCTTGGAGGGAAGACGGAGACAGCGGCCACCGGAGACCTGCGTGTGTGCCCAGGGTGGGAAGGGTTGGCAAGGATTCTTCCGAGGTGGGGTGGGGTGGAGGAGGGCTTCTGCTATGTGGGACGGAGAAAGTACGGACAGAGGGAGACAGGGACTCAGTGACAGGAAAGGGAGTAGAAAGGACATGGGGGCTTTGGGACTCATTAAAAATTGATGCTGGCTGCTAGGATGACTCTGCTTGCTTGTCTCTGAGGAATGTTGAACCTATTTTGACAGTCCTAGGCCTCTTGATGGCTTAGCTTGGAGTAATATTTGGTATAAGATATTGTGCATGTTAACCAAAGGCAAAACGAAATGTACAAAGTAAACCTATTTCAGTTCAAATTCACCAATGCTCCCCTCCTTCTTGTTTTGCTTTTAGAAGGCAGATTGAATGATCTGTAACTCAGCTTTTATTTGCCACACCACTGTGTAAAGAATTCTGTAGACAGCTACAACAATGGGTAAATAGAATTGTATGCTAAGCAAAGTATTAGATCTTTTTCACCAGGACTTGACACTTTATTTATTAGGGTGGTGATAAGTGAGTGCTTATTGAATAATCACACAGGTCACCTTCTGGGGCAAATTAAATATGCCTAATTTGAAACCTAAACCTTATTTGAAAGGCTGTACAGGTAAGGTACACTGTGTCTTATTAAACTTTATGTACTAAGAGTTTAACTTTGATATGTCTGTTCAAGGACTTTGTACTAAAAACATAATTTGATCATGTTCTTCACAGCAAAAATCTTCCCTGAGCTTGCACAGCTAATAGATTCTGAGTTTAATATTAGAGGTTTTCCGTGATGTGGTTTTTGTTTACTCTCTTTGTGTCGTTAACCGAGAGGGTTAATTCTGACTCTGAAGTCATGCTGCCTAGGGTAAATTTTGGATCCACCTCTTTCTTACCAGTCTATGACCTTGGAAAAGTTACTTACCTCACCTGACATTTCTATGTCTTGTCTGTGAAGTGAGAAAATTAATCGTACCAGATTTACCGTGTTGTAAGTGGAATTGTATATGTAAACCCATCTGACTGTCCAGCTTGACCTAGAATTAAACTCAGACTCATTTACATTTCTGTTTTGCTACTTATTGCTTTTTTGACTTGATGTTTCTGTTATCTAATTGGTAGTTTTCTCATCCTTAAAGTGGATGCAATAATGACCATTTCATAGAAAAAAAGTAAATTTCTTAAAAAAAAAAAAGCACTTACTGCAGACTGATACCTGGAGGCCCTTTAATAAATGTGAAGTTCCCTTCTTTTGTGACCATGTTTACAGTTTTTCTATAGTTTCCCAATGTTTTCTCTTTGCTGGTGATGTAACATAGCCTAGTGACAAGAAACCAGCTTGAGTTCAGTCCTGATTTTTCTGCTCTTAGCTGTGTAAATTGGAGCAAGCTTGAGCAAGCTCCAGCTTCCTGGCTTATCAAAACAGGAAAAAGTGTCTCCCTAAAGGAGACTTGTGAGGTTTGAATGAATTACTGAAAGTAAGTCTCAGTACCTGGCACATGGTGAGGCCTCAGTAAGAACTGGCCTATTTTTCCCGCTCCCATCTTTCATTGCCAAATCTCTCCATTCTTTTTTTTTTTTTCCTATTTGAAGTTCCTTCTTCCTTTAAATGTTCATCGCTATGACACTCACCTGTTTCCTTTTAGCTAGAGTTAATCGCTCTTCTTTCTCATTCTTATCTCATTCTATATCTACTGTTAGTACTGTAACGCATTTTGAATTTATCCTTGTCTTTAGTTGCTGAAACATGTATTTTACCTCTACTCTTAGACCATGACATTTTTGTGGACATGAATTTTGAATTTGTTGATTCATCTTGGTTCCCCTGTTGTATTAGCAGAAATGTTCTACATTTGGTTAACACTCCTCCAGCATATTGCAAACTACTGGAAATAAAATAAACATGCATCTTTGCTCCACATGGCTTGATATTTCTATCTCACTAGATATTTTGAGTGTTTCCTGGTAATGAACTTGATGTATGTTCTACTTCTTCTTTCTAATTTTTTTAAATTTCCAGATCATGTTTGAATGTTACTGCACTCCAAAATAAAATTAGATTCCAATTAAGAATTAGAATCTACCAGTATTTTAAAAATAAACTGTATCTTTAACTTCTAGTCCCCCTCCTTAGCAACAACCACATTAACATTTAATGTTTGTTCTTACAGAGTTTTCTTTTTGTGAACATAGGCTTATTTTACATAACTTCTTTTAGGATTGGATGTATTTATAGATCGAGTATAAGCATCAGAACCCCAAATTTTTACCTCATGGTGATTTATTGTGTAGTTTGTTACTTATATTTCTAAATATTGCTAAGTTAAGTTTCTCTTTAATGATATTCTAAAATAGTTTTTGGCAAAATCTCAGGTGTTTAGAAAGTAAAAACTGATACCTTAAATAGTTTTACTCAGCTATTTTGACTCAAATTATGTTGTATCTTTATGCCAGTGTGCTTTTAACTCTTACAGAGTAATTTTTTTTTTT